GCGGGGGGGGGGGGAAGCAGATGTCATAAAAGTGAGCTAAGGAGCCGTTTAGCTACACTTGCATTGAGACTGACAGGATTAGATGAACATGCTCCTCCTGAACTTTAGAGCTCAACTTAAATATTCCCATTGATGTTCTTACAAGTGATTGCAAAAGTGCTTCTCCTACTGCGGCTGCCTAAACTTTGTTCACTCGGCTCATTTTATCCAGAGAAATAAATCAGAAATCATTTATATCTGGCAATTGTTCAGAAGCTGGATTACATTAACAATTTGACCCTTTGTATGCATAAAAGGACACAGTAAGGAGTAAATCTTAGAAATGAAAGTCACAACGATTGATGCAATACAAGAAACTGAAGTAGGAATTAGCTGCTGGGGTTTTTTGTGTTGCTCACTGTTCCCATGAGTGACGAGGACCATAAAAAGACTCCGGGAAAATTACTGCTGCAATACACGCAATAGAGTTTTATGTGACTTTGAATCAAATTTGAGCTGTCAAAATAAACAGGCCGATCGCAGTATCATCCCATTTATCAGCAATCCGATCCAAAACAGCAGACGTAAGGGCCTTTCTGGTAAGACCCGGGTATAACATAAGCGTTGTAAACGCACATCTGATTTGTGTTTTCGTTCTACTTTTAGCAAATAAGGTGATATTTTCAACCACCAGGCATGCTGCACTTGGCAATCAACAAATTAACAGACTGCACAGGGGTGTGAGGTTATTTTTGTTGTGTAACTATGCAGTGTAGATATTTCAAATGGTATTGGCGCTTAAGCACAAGCCAACAGCAAATGCCTGTTGAGGGCATACTGCCTCTAGTCAACCAGAACAGACACAGCTGCTCGTATTCTTTGAGTAGAATGACTGCTGTTTGCTAGTACATTTGGTGCATGCTCACAATGCACTACAAAACCAATTAAGAGCATTTCAGTTGGGCGCTAATCGGCAAAATCTCTATGAATTTTTGCAAGCTGTCCTGTCATATGAGCTTTCCATAATTTTGGCAGCGGCGATGATATCGAGGGCATTGAGGAGGACAAAATGCGGTCATGGTCTTCAGCCAAATGAGTTGATGGAGAGCAAAAATAAATCTATTCTGCAGGTGTGAACATGCAGCGGCAGTGGGCTGGAAATATGCTGGCTCATTCGAAGTTGATTTCCATCGAAAACCAAGTGATTTATTGTACGTTCCACACTAGCTTGTCTCTTTACGTGGCTAGCAGAATTCAGCTTAACTGTCTAATCCAAATGGTGCTCTGGTTTAGAGAAAACGCATATCCCAACAAAACCGCACTAGTAAATATATGACTCTCGCCTCCCAGTATCTTCTGCCCAAGATATATAGAGCCCATCTGCCTCCGTGCCGTACACACCTGCAGGAAACCTGCTGAGTTGCAGGCGGGGAGAGAGAAACGGCATGCGCTTTGAGCTAATTCATCTATTAATTTGACTTTTTAGAGTATGAGGGATCTACCGTGAATTAAACCCAGGCAGACTGCCATCGCTGGATGAATATCGTAACTTGCTTTACAATGCTCTAAACAATAAAACGGGTGATAAGTTACCTCAGCGTCGATGGCACGGACAGTGGCTGTTAAGCACATTGTCGTGGCGGTGACTATAATGTCACAACTGACGCCCCTGGGCACTGGCTCATAATTCGCCATGTTAAGTGCAGTCACAAATGTAAGAGCACCACACTTTTTTGACCAATGAATTTCCTTGACTTTTCCAAGACCTTGGCAGTCGTTTGTGATTACTAGATAAAGACTGTTTTGAGAAATCATTTTAGAGAGATTACTGGGCTCATTCCAGATACTCAGATTTGTCAGGAAGCAATGTTGTGGGCTAACAGTGAATATGTACTGATATAAAATGTCTGTTCAAGGTAATGCAAGTTGTTTTTATAAATACAGTGCTATGATAAATAAGACCAATCTTCAACAAACAGTTAAAGGTATAAGTAATAATTAAGGCTGCACAACATACATATTTAATTTTTATTTTAGAGTAATAGTATTATCACAATATATTTCTTTTTTGTTTAATAACTGTATTTAATAATAATGATTATTTATTTTAGATTATTATTTTAGTCATATCAAATGGGTAAAAACAGTGGGAATATGGCCTATGATAACTCAAGTCGAAAAGATTTAAAAAAAAAAAAAAAGAAAAAAAAAAACGTATTATTATATAAATAATATATATATATGTGCAGATGCACCCCCTAATTAATTGTTTCCTGAAAAAAATCATAATGCAGTATGTATTACAGATAAACAAAACATTGCAATGGAAGTTTTTTTCAATATTGTTCTAGGAACAATTAATATACAGTGCTTCTGTAATATAATCAATTCTCGTAACTGTAGGCTGTTTACAGTAACTAATATAGCAAATTGCACATTAATATAGATTATGTGGGCACATTTATAGTAATTTCTCTTCTGCTTCTGAAGAGATCCTGGCACACATAGCAACTTTATTCTGAATGTGCCTTTCAAATTTGGTTGCCCTTAGAATCTAAAATATCCATTTTCAGAAATTAATTCTTTCCTCTTTTATGATTTTCAGGGCCATTAACACCTTACCTTACATCGCCTAAAAACAAATGACTTTGAGCCTATACCTTTTGGTAGCTAGCAAGTCTCTGTCTCATTCTTACAGACAAATAGAAGAGGACATTTCAATCTTCTCTGCCAAAACCCATTTTAGAGACTGTGGATGCCTCTGACAATGACTGATTGACTATGAGGGCAAACCTGCAAACTTTGGTTAAGTGCGTCCACATTTATGGATATGGGTTAAAAATGTAACCACATGATGGATATTATTCCCCTCTATCACTCAAGTCAATATGGTTATGGCTGTCTGTGCGAAGACTTCAGGGGATCGAGAGAACAGATCCACTTGAGTGAAGGTCATGGTGAAAATCAGCATCAAAAGTTAGGCAGGAGAGGAAGCTGCAGTTCTGCCCATCGGCTACAATCAGGACAAGACTCGATCAAGCTGCACGGATTCTGGAGATGTCAGTGGACAGCGGTCACCTCAGCGGCGCAGCATCTGTTCACAGCCTGACCAGAGCACTCGCGCAGATTGAACGCTTATGCTATATGTGCCTTGCGGTAAGATAGACAGACACGACATGCACGAGGGGCACGGTTTGAAATATTGATCACCCAGAGCAGCGCTAACTATTAGCCCCAGCAGCCTTGGGATAATGATATTCATTGTGAAATTAAAGGCTCAAATTTTATGAAGGATTTCATCCTAATAGAATTTGAGATTCTAAACGAAATGCAGCTGCTCAAAACTTCTCCATACAAACCAACAGTAAAGGTATCTTTCAATAAAAGATCCCTATGAATGGCTCATTATGAAGGACAAATCAAGCAGTAGCAGTTTCTGTAATTGGCAGACCTTGTTGGACAATTAAAAAGAACAACACAGCACATCTACTGTACATAAATCGGGCCTCTTTCACATATCGTATTTTGTGTTTAATTCTTTGTTTCAGCCAAGAAACATAACTATTGTCAGTGTAACCTTCACAAATTTCAGAAGACCTTCAAACCATAACAGCAACCATATAAACAAGTTCAACAATAATTTGAGGTTACTCACAGCTTTCAATAGCCAGGATGGTGATGTTGTGTACAGCATTGGCTTCTCTGTCTAAAGGCTTAGCCGTGCTGATGACTCCTGTTGTTGCCTCGATGTTGAAAAATCGCTCCAAATCTGTGTTTCTGTCTATTGAATACCTGGGGAAAAAAAGTTTTAATGAATTTCAAGCTTTGACTTTTAAATGAATTCTATAGATATGACCTGAAGTCACAGCCCCAACAGCGATCATTATTTTCAGTGGCTCTTAGGCACAGAACAACTTAATTATGAGCATTTGTCTTTCAGCACAAAACACCTGAGTCCCACAACTCATTTACAGTCAACATTTGCATCCACTCCCACGTAAACAAATAAAATTATTGAATGCAATAATAATAGCACTAATGACTTGCATATGTATTATCTTAGGCCTGTTTTACATTAACATGTGTTTATGTGATTGGCTTGAAATCAGATAGCACTTGACCCTATTAAATGTGTAATGTAATGTGTAAGTATACTCAAGACACACTGTGACGCATTTTCTTTATTCATCTATGTGAATAATATTATGTTCGCTACTATTCAAAAGTTTGTGATCAGTATGGGTTAATTTTTTTTCAACATTGATTATAATAAGATTTTTTTTTTCTTGAGCAGCAAATCAGCATATTAGAATAATTTCTGAAGGATCATGTGACACTGAAGACTTAAGTAATGGCTCCTGAAAATTCAGCTTTGCCATCACAGGAATAGATTACATTGTTAAATAATAATAAAACAGAAAACAGTTATTTGAAACTGTAACAATATTTCACAATATTCCCAGTTTTATTGTATTTTTGATCAAATAATTTGTGCAGTGTTGGAGAGCATAACAGTCAAAAACATAAAATCTTACCAACACCCAAACCTTTAAACAGTATTATATGCAAGTTTTAGCAAGCCATTTTGTACAGATAACTGGGATCAGATTTCTATCCGTAGACATATTAGACTACAAGGGGAGAATGCAATTCAGTTAAAGTCTGACTAGATATTATCTCGATACCAAAATTGGGTATTATTTTTTATTAAGGTTTTAAGCTTTAATTAAAAATGCTGTAGTCTTTCTCAAGATTTAATCTTGCCTTCATAAAACCAGTATCATTGAGGTGTAAAGTCATTCCTCGAGGCCATGTCCTACCTAATGGGGCTATTGGTGGAGTCTGGGTCCAGAGCAGAGACGGTTCCTATGATGGTTCCCACTTTAGCAGCTTCAGAGATGACCATTTTGCGGACCAGAGAGGAGAAGATAGGAGGCTCATCTACATTCTCTACAGTCAGCCTTACCATCGCTGTATCACTGAACGGTCCTTGAGACAAGAACCGTGGGTCTATGTTCCTGTTGGATGCCTCAATTTTCAGAGTGTAGCTTGACTTTGTTTCAAAGTCAAGATTCTGAGGTAAAGAACACAAAAGGAGGGAGGGAGAGCAGAGGAAAAAGTTTAGAAATAGTTCTGAAATTATAACCAAGGACAGAGAATATGTGGTAAGCATCCAGGCAAGTCATAAACAGTTCACATATGAAATCTAGCAGTGATGTGTGTACGTATATAATGCATCCAAGAACCCTTGATCCACTCCTTTTAGCTCTCATATTTCATTTAAGTATTGTTATCGATTGACAGGACAGAAAAGAACAGTGTCAAAGCAGTACATTGATTTTAAGACAGAGATACATGATGCTGAAAATGTCTTGTGGAATACTTTCTCATATAGTCATTTATCACTCCTGTCTGCTGTAATACGCAGCACATTGAAAACTACCTTCCGAGCCTCCTTCATATCACTGACAAAACATAACTTCCCTGAGGGTGCAACAAAGCCAAATCCAGCACTTGTGAACGTTTAGCTATAGTTTTAAAATGAGAAGTCAGTCAGTTTATTGTCAATGCTATCCTACATAGTTTCCCTGGAAACCACAGTGCAAATATACAATACTGTACTGTATATACAATATACAGAGTTCAAAATATAAGTTTTTAAACAGATTATCTTTGTATTCATGCTCATTGCATACTTTTTGGAAAAACCTTTCTACAGTTATTTCAATCTAATTTCTCTGTGTAAATGTCAAGTGGTATAACCACTTGTGACAAGTAAAAGTAATAAAATACTTTCCATATAGCTTGAATACACTTGAGTGCACAAATCTGGTCCAGAAATTCCGAAAACTGTTTTATTCAAACTAAAAAGAATGTTTTTCAAGATATAAAGAATATTTAAGTTTTTAAATCATTATGTTTTCTTGGGATTTCGGAGTTTATTAATATTTTATTAAATATTAATATTTTGAAACAGAACTGATGCATACTAATGCATATTTTTTTTAAAAACAATAATAAATGAATTTGCCAAACTCCAATTTTTTTTTTCCCCCAAGCATTACAGCCTTGGAGAGCTACACCACCTACACATTTTTTTACTTTAAGTCTATGTGGCTTTTAGTTAAAACAGCTAAATTAATATAAAAACCCCAAAATGTACAATACGCCTGCAAGAAATTACTCTGTATGAATTTTTATATCTATAACATATGATACATAAGCATGGGGTGGGAGTAAGGTGGGTCAAAGCAGTTGAGGAGCATGACCGCCTGTGGGAAGAAACTGTTCTCAGGTCCAGTAGTTCAGGAGTGTATATGCTCCTGAGGCTTCTCCCAGAAGGAAGAAAGGAAGAAAAAGCTGAAGGCCAAAGTATTGTCCTTCATTCTGTTACTGACTTTCTTTAGACACTGCTCCGGGGGAAATAACATGCTGAGCAGTCTGCACTGTAGAGGCTTCCAGTGAGAGGAAGAGCAGTTTCCAAACACTGTTGATTTCCTGAAGTCAACAATTATCTCTTTTGTCTTGTTGACATTAAGAGATGGTTGTTGACTCCTCAACATTTTTCTAGGTCTCTCATCTCCTCTCTGCATGCTATCTCATCATTGTTGTTGATGAGCCCTAGCACTGCGATGTCATCTATAAAGTTGATGATATGGTTGCCGGGGTGCCTGGCAACCAGGCTGAGAGTCAACAGCGAGAACAATAAAGGGCTGAGGACACAGCCCTGGGGGACACCGGTAGTCAGGGTGACAATTTGGGAGGTCTGGTCATGGATCCTGGCTGCCCGAGGTCTGTTTGTCAGGAAATCTGACAAACAGCTGTGATGTTTATTTTTGAAGAAAAAAAAAACGGCTATGCAATATCTGTTATCCAAAAATAAAAAACTAAAGTCAATAAATAATGAATTGTAAGATAAGTGTTATTCATACTGGACAGTTTTGCCTTTAAGCAAAATGTCAGGAGTCAAGTGTAGGTGGGCTGGAGGTCTTGGGTCATGACCAGCCGCTAACAGCACTTCATTACCATGTGTGTGAAAGCAACAGGATTCTAGCCATTATTGCATGTTACTGTTGAGTTCTTCAGCATTCTTTCGCCAGACAGGCACAGAGTAAATGACTTTGACAGGAACTCAAAGGGGTCTTATATTAGAAATGATCCCAGTGGTTGTTAGTGTCTTCTGTATGCATAGCCTGAGATTAACCTCTGATAATATCTAAAGATACACGCTTTTTACATCTAGCACATTTTCTTTACAAGGGCACCCCCTTTACAGGCATGAAACATTTATCGCCTACACTTATTTCCTGACATAGCAATGGAGCCGAAAGTACATACGTTCTTGGGATTTTGGAGTTTATTAATATTTTATTAAATATTAATATTTTGAAACAGAACTGATGCATACTAATGCATATTTTTTTAAAAAGCAATAAAAAATGAATTTGCCAAACTCCAATGTTTTTTCCCCCAAGCATTACAGCCTTGGAGAGCTACACCACCTACAGATTTTTTACTTTAAGTCTATGTGGCTTTTAGTTAAAACAGCTAAATTAATATAAAAGCCCCCAAAATGTACAATACGCCTGCAAGAAATTACTCTGTATGAATTTTTATATCTATAAGCTCTGATAACATCTAAAGATACACACTTTTTACATCTAGCACATTTTCTTTACAAGGGCACCCCCTTTACAGGCATGAAAAATTTATCGCCTACACTTATTTCCTGTCATAGCAATGGAGCCGAAAGTACATACGTATAAGATTTGGACTGTCTCTGGCATACCTTCTGTAGAGTTATGACTCCTTCCTGGGTATCTTTGTCTGACGTGACCCTGAACACCCCAAGGCCGTCGCCCTCTATAATTCTGTAGTCCATCTCAGCATTTGGTCCGATGTCAGAATCCAAGGCTTTTATCTTGGTCACCACCAATGCCACAGGCAGGGATTCAGGCACAGCAAACTGATAGGATTCTGCAAAAGAGGCCCGGCAAACACACACACCCACACGCAGAGGTTATTGATGATGCTATTTCTCTTTTTTCCTTCCTTATCACCCAGCTGTTAGGGCCAGGTCTGAACTAATAATGTATCTCTCTGCTCCGTAGCAGGTAAGACACTCTATAGATATAGCAAGCAAGAGGACAGACTAAGCTCTACACACTCCCGGCCACATACTGATGCCGGTGATGGTATCGTGCAGCTAAAAATAGGGATAGAAATAACTATGACAATGAACTAAAAAATCCTCTATTATAAAATAAGATTGTTCCATTCTATTCAAAAGATCATCAACCTGATAATTACACAGCAACTACAGTGAGCGTTTGACCTCTATAATACAAGATCAGCCTGAGCCATTAAAAATCTCAGATTGCTCGCATGCAAATTAAATGGGAAGGCAGCATGCATTAATGATGGATCGGGTCCACGTTTGTTTTATAGCCGGTGGAAGAATCATACTCCGTGAAAAACGGGGCGGGTTGTCGTTAACATCCGTCAGCGTGACCGTCACTGACGTTGTGCCCGAGAGTCCTCCCATCTGACCAACCATGTCTTTGGCCTGGATCACCAGCAGATATTGATCCCGTGCTTCTCGATCCATGTTGGGCAGAGCCGTCCTCACAATGCCTGCACAGAAAAAGTTGAATTGTTTTCCTAAACGTCCTGTTGTCTAGTGTTGATTAAAATGTAAGAAACATGGGGGGTTGTTGATGCATGAGATGTACTGTGTAATGTTAACATCCTCCTGGCCTGTAAATGCTGCGATAAAGGGTAACGCTTTAGATTACCCAAACTTCGCATATTATTCCCTTATACCTACACGGAGGTACTGAATAGGTACACTATAATTACAAAAAAGTTACACTGTAACTTCAGTTTACTTACGCAGTTCTTTGCAGGTTGCATATCTGGCTGTTACCCCCTTATTACCCAAACGTAACACATTGTTCCCTTATACCTACACGTATGTTCTTTATAGGTACACTATAATTACAGAAACGTACACTGTAAATTCAGTATACTTACATAGTTCTTTGCGGGTTGTAATCTAAAGCGTTACCCGGTAAAGCATCTAGATTACAATATGGATCAATTCCCCTCTGCATCATAGGGAGATGGAGTGTGCATCAATTAAAATAGGATTACCATATAGTAATCTAAATAGCAAGGACCTTTTCCAGATTTGTTAGGCCATATCATAATGGATCTCTCATCGATGAGTCAAATTCACTGAAGCCAGTACAGGACTGTAAATCAATTTCCTCTCCAAATCATTGTTAGTTTTGGAATTATCATAGCTTGGCACATCCGAGAGTGATTAAATAGTACATACTTCCTTTTGCGCACAGGAAGCTACGATAAATCCTAATCAGTAAGCACTGCTATTTGCTATATCTTCATTTTCCTCCACATGTTGTGGTGGTATCTCTAAAATTAGCCACACACTTTAAAAGAAAAAGGAGAAAAAGTTTAATCAAGGTTTATAATTTACCCTGTTGATTGAGTCCATATGTGGAAATGACCTCAGTTACAGCTTAGAGTGCTGATTACATTAAGGATTTCATTCTCTGTAATCAGGTGGTAATGTGCGCCAGTAACTTCATCACAAGTCCCATCAACTTTTTCTGTCTTTAAGTGAGTCAATCAAAATAGCGGTCTCTTGACGTTTGCATGTTTCCATTACAGGAATTTGTGGTTACCGCTTTGAAAAGACTTGTCGCTCAAGTGACAACAGAAAGCGTGTGGTGCTTTTCTTTTTTTTAGAAATGAATCTGAATTAGATATTGTACACTGTTTACCTAAAGAGCTTGATTGGTGAGAATGACTCAAAATCTTGCTGCTAGATAAGATTTTAGTGCTTAAATGTTTTGCTGCAATGGAATAAGCATTTGTAATTTGTGCGTACCTGTCTTTGGGTCCACTGAGAAGTAGGGTTGTCCTTCAAGGATGCTGTACACGACTCTGGCACTGTTTCCATATGTGGGGTCATCTGCATCAGTCGCCTTAACCTCAACTACAGATGTGCCTGGAACAAATTATCCACGCAATTTGGTCAAATGGTACCAGACATGCATTGGCATCGAGCCTCACTTGATTACAGAACTGAAATCTGATGTAGCCTATCACGAAACATGAACAGGCTCAAGTAAACCAATAAAGAAACATTAGGATGCACATAAGTAGATGTCTATTGTTCTGTTCCAGCAGATTTTAAGAAGTCTCTCCAAGGCTGTATTTATATGATCAAAAATGTGGTAAAAACAATAATATGGAAATATTATTACAACTTTAGATAAATGTTTTCCATTTTTAATATAGTATATAAAATGTAATTTATTCCTGTGATATGCATTAAAAGAGGCTTCTCTTGCCTCCCTGAACAATCTGACACGCTGTCAGTCACAGAAACGAGGCATCTGCCGCTGATCGCTAGCATACATGAAGTTCATTAGAGCGTTTTGGAAGTAATTACATTTAATAAAAGAGTCACAGTGGCTTCCCTAGTGACAACAACTTTCATTTCAATTGTGTGTCAATTTCCCCAGAAATTACGATTATGTTCTCTTGAACACATGGGATGGAAATGCTGCTTTAGCCATAAATTATTTTCACGATTGTTTTTCACATTTTTTGCATAAATTAACAACGTTACTCAGATAGAAACATATATTGTGTTGGCTTCTGCAGTATTTTGTATTCTTGTGCCTGTCTTGATTACAGAGTACAGAGCTGGTGTTGCCTCAGTTCTCATTAAGCCATGCATCCTTGCAAAAAGCCCAGAAGGACAAAACAAATCTAATCGTAAGCCAAACACACACTTTAAACACAATTCTGTATGTGGCCTGCACTTGCTTTTCTTTATCTTATAGTCAGTGTTGGGAAGGTTACTTTGGAAATGTAATAGGTTACAGATTACAAGTTACCCTATTTAAAATGTAATAAGTAGCGTAACTATTTCAATTACTTTTTTAAAGTAATGTAACTGATTACATTTGATCACTTTTCTAAATTTCAAACAAATGTTTTCAACTGTTAATCATTTTAAATAATTTAAAGCAGGCAGGGTAAACCTTACAGTAGTACTCAACACTGATTACAGTCAGACTTTCAAACGCCTTCTTCACTTGAATTAAGATTATAATAATTTAATTTTAAAGCACAGCCACCACAAAATCAGAATTTAACAACGCTTTTTACTTTGAGATTGTTCTGAGGTCAAATATGGATTTTAAATCATAACAAGAGTCTAAGTGCTATGATACTGTTTTTTGAATCAAATCTTTGCATAGCTATGACAGGAAACACTGGCATCTAACAATGCCTTAACAGTTAATCCTGAAAAATAAAGCATATACATTCACCCAGATAGGAAATAAAACAGTTATTGAATAAGCATGTGTCCTATTCTGTGTTCTAAACTCCTAAAACATTGGTGTCTCATATTTTAAAACAGTCAATGCAATTTGGGAAAGAAATCAATCATATCTGTATGTGTGTGTGAAAATATTCAGATGTAACACCCTTTGTAATCCTTAACATTTTCTTAAGTAACTGTAATGTAATTGCACATTTTTTCTGAGTAACTGCAACAGATTACAGTTACATTTATTTTGTAATTAAATTATGTAATTCCATTACATGTAACTAGTTAATCCCCAACACTGCTTATAGTGATTTTCTATTGTTTTTACTGCTTTTTTCACAGTGATAGAAACTGGACATCTGCAGCACTTAGTATCTTTCAAAAGTTTGGGGACAGTAAGACTTTTATTGTTTTTGAAAGACGTCCCTGCATTTATTTGATATTTGACCAAAACACATTAAAACCATGATATTCTAAAATATAGTTACAATTTCAAATAACTATTTTATATTTTAATATATTTTAAAATATAATGTGAAAACAAAGCTGAATGTTCATTAGCCATTACTCGGTGTCCTTCAGAAATCATTCCAATATGCTAATTTAGTGTTCAAGAAAATTTCTCATTATTTTCACAGTTGAAATCAGTTGTGCTGCTTGATATTTTTGTGAAAAAGTGATATATTAAAGACTCTTTGATGAATAGAAAGAACAGAATTTTGTATATATTTATTTATTTTTGGTAAAAATAAAAAAGTGAAAGTCTTGTAAATGTCTGTTTTAACGCATCACAGCTAAATATAAGTAAGAATTTCTTTCAAAAACTTAAAAGGTAGTGTAGATTCTATACTTTATCATTTAATCTGTAGAACTGGAGCACAAAGGGAAGTTTAGCTCTGCTTTACTGGCTTACTGATATTTCCCCCAGATTTGATTTAAACTGTAAAATGGCTAATGGAATGTGCCAGGCCTTCATTTGAGCGCAGTTTACAGACCGCTCCAGACTGCGGTGTTCCTCAGAAATGCAGATTATCCTTAAATGCGTTTGCTTGTAAAAAAGTAAAGGAGACATTTGGGGACAGGCCCAGATGTTGTCATATTGGTAACCTAAGCATCTGGAGGCACAGATGAGTGTACAAAAACGCAGCACCATGGCAACACCTCACCGCAGGGACCGAGGCCAAATGAGTGTTACTCTTTATCTGATGGCGCAATGTGATTTAATCTCTTAAAGGTAACCTTGTACCTCTGCAGAATCATTTCAGACTCTTTAGATTCAGCAGGCGGGTACATTTATAGCCAGTTAATATGGTCAGCCCTTAAATACACATCATAGCGAAACCGCAATGTGTGAAAATGATTGGATGGGAGTATAAGGCATATGTTGTGAATTTCCATTCGGCCTCATGCTGACGTCTGGCTTGAGGGAGAGGTGTCTGGGTTAGGTTGTGGTCCTCACACTTGCAAACAATCTCCTGTTTCTTAATTACCAAATTAAATTAATCATTTTCTCGTTAATCAAATCCATTCATCACCGGTTGACTGCTAATGAATTTAAATGGATCTATAAAGCAGTCATTGAGGACAAGGGTCGCTTGCATTCACAGAGGCTAATGGCTTTGTTCACGCCGTCGGACAGACAATGGCAGCCAGCATGTTAATTGCTCCTCTAAAAAAAGCATGTCAATGCTTGCGTGATTGTCAGCTACTACGCTCCGCGTGGTCTAACTGACAAACAAGTGCCTCGTACTGAGGGCATTCATTATGTATATCACTGTTCTTAGGTGATCCACAGCAAACCCTCAATAGCTAAACAAATACGTGACACAATTACCAATAATCATCATGAAATTGAATGTCAAAATATCTGGTATGGATGCACCAATATTTATACCCTGGCTGATATGATAAACTGATATTTGTTTCATCTTTTTAACTGATTATTGATAAATTATATAATATTTTGTCAATTTAATTTAAAAATAAAACAGTAAAAAAAGGTTATTCATTTTGAGATTTGCTAAAGATAAACTTAACAGCTATTGTTATTAAGGCAAGACACCTCAGGTGAATATGGCAATATTTTTTTTTTACCAATAGGTATCACCTTCTTCAGCTGATTGATTACATTAAAAGCCGCAAAATGATTTTTGTATTGCAAGTTTTCTGAAATGGAATGTTTAAAAATGCAAATGAGGCATTATCTAATTAATTAAACACTAATTTGAATACATTTCCAAAACAGAAATCTCAACACTTGATAAAGGCAAAATTCTTGCTTTTATTTTGTTGACATATTAGAGTCAAAGGATTTTGGATATCTCTTTTTATCACTCCATAAATCAGAGAATACTGTCAACAGCCAGAAAAAAAAGAATAAACGAATGAAATGTTGTATAAATCCAGGCAAATGATATATGAACAAACCCCTCAGTCAAGACCTTTAGAATACAGATAGGTATAAAACTGTAAAGTTTGGTGTCTGTAAGTGCTGCTCAGTGCATGAGGAAAAAACCCTTAAATATGTATTGCAATTTAAATCTGCAGCCGTAACTAGACAAAGTGCAATCAAATAAACACTTAAAAGTGTATTTTGAATGTTTTCTTTCTGCTACTATGAAACAACATATTATGACAAGCCAAAATCTCAAAATTGACCAGTGAATGAAAAAAAAAATGTTTTTGCCTGTAGTGTCTTGCCTTAAGTTTATTAGTGTTTTTATTATGTTTAGATTACCTTTGCCATCATCTAAGACTCACTTAAAGAAAATGAGCAAGCACAATTGAATGTCCAAAATCAACAAATATTAATAAACCTTTTTAAAAATCTGCACATATATTGTGTATTCCTAACATCACTCTTTGATGATTTGTTTTGTATAAACAAATCCAAGGCACTTACCAACAGGAGACATTTCAGGCACTTGAGCATTGTAAGGGCCATCCAGGAACTTGGGCTCATTGTCATTGATATCCTGCACTTTGATAACGAATTCTGACTCTGGTTCTACTGGCAGGTTGGTGGCCCGGTCTCTGGCCTGAGCTCGTAGTGTGTAGTAGGCCTGTTCCTCCCGGTCCAGGCGCTTCGTGGCATGTATGTCGCCTGTGTTTTCATCGATGGTGAAAATAGATGTTGCACCTTCGCCATTGAGCACGTATTTTACATTGCCCTCACCTTTGTCCACATCGGAATGAAGCTACAGGGAAAGAAGAAATGAGAAAACAGTCATTCATATCTATTATTATTGTAACAGTTGTCTAGTTAGCATAGTAATGAATAATGCCAGAAATTGTGTTTACTCATGAGAAAGTACTTCTGCAGTGTTTTAAATAATAAATGGGGATAAACCAACTCCAGCAGATTTGTGCAAGTCAACACAAGAGAATGGACTGAACAAATGTCAAAACTCACAAGTTATTCTTCCTCACACATCTCAGAACACACGAATGGATTAAAAAAAAATCCATCTTTCATTTTTATACAGAATATGGCTTGAGGTGCTGTTGCTGAGTTACCTTTCCGACTAAAAGAAAAAAAAAAGCATGAACGGCAGTGGGAAAATCTCAGAAATCTCACGGCCAGTCGTTCTTTCCTGAATGTTTAGTCAGATTTGCTAGTATACAGTTGTTTTGTGAGAAGCCTGACAATTATACATGGTTTGTTGTTTTATATTAACCATTGTGTTCAAATAGTGCCAAAAATGCACATTTGTAATAAACCATAAAAACTGGCCAATTTAATTCACAGTCCCGAAATCCTCATCATGAGCCCTTTTCTCATGCCGTTACCATTTTATGGCAACTGACTTGGTATTTCCGTCACCAGCAGTGAGTGATTTTATTTACTTGTTTATTTCTTGAAAGACTTTATTTCCCTCTCTGGGGGATTATAAGCCAAGTCCTTAGCTCCCTTTACTCCCTTTGTTTTTCTTTCCTTCATATAAATCTAACATTTTTTTGTCTTCAAATCCGCATTTCTCAGGAGACTGTCTTTCACTGTGGAACAATACTTTCATGTACAGGATCTAGCCGGTATGAAAAGACAACTTGTTTGCTTCATTTAAGCAGTCCTGTCATATCATAAGTCTTTATGATGCGGTTTTTCACAGACAGACTCACAATGATTGGCTGGTGCATCATAGCTGTATTACTTTCATGGGACAAAGTGAACCCACAACTGAATTTGGGAAGATGGCAAGCAGTGTCCTGTGGTGTGACATGCTATAATTCATCTAAAACCATTTTAAACAGCATTATTCTAATGATTTTATATTACGCATGCAGTTTATGACCACATTCTCTATATGGAATTGTATTTTTAATTCATTTGTCACACCACAGGACTGCAAAAAGGAAAAAAAGCTCCCATCTAGTCACATCTGGTTTAGGTTGCCGTTTACTTGCCAATAAAACGGCGCTGCTCCACATATGATATCAGTTAATCAAAAATTACAATGGTTTCAGTTCAGGAACCGAGTGTGCTAATGACATTTGAGGCTAATTAATCAAAGTAAATGTGTGTTTGGATGTCAGTGCTGGCAATTCTCCAAGGCCAACTCCGGTCTGATGACTGTTGTGTGGCTCGGCTCTGCATTTATTTTTTCAAATGTTTATTCTGACCATAATTCACCGTGATGATGACTGCAGATCATTAGATTCTGTGTGCTCAGCTATACCGCTCCGGCTCGCAAACTCATCTAAAATTATTACGATAAATGTATATATATCTTTTCATCTGAATAAAGCCGTCAAACGTATTACCATCGTATTACCGTTCTCAAAAGTTCAAAAAGTTGTCACATTAACAACATTTATAATGTTACAAAAGATGCCATTTTTTAAACAAGTGGCATTCTTTTGAGTTTTCTATTCATCAATGAATCCTGGGAAAAAGTATCACTGTTTCCTTAGCAATATCAATAATAAGAAGAAATGTTTCTTGAGCACTGGAGTAATGAATGCTGAAAATTCAGCTTTGCCATCACAGGAAAAAGTTACATTTTAAAAATTAAATAATAGAGAACAGTTATTTAAATAGTAATAATATTTCATAATATTACTGTTTTACTGTATTTTTATTCAAATAAATACACCTTTTGTAAGCATAAGAGCATAAGAAAATGAAAAAGGATCAGTGTATATGCTAGTGTACTCCTACAAGTTCACAAAATTGACTTTCAAACACATATACAAACTTGGAAATTCTGGAAAATCTGAGAAAAAAATATAAAGAAATATAATAATAATTGATGACCCATTCTGCACTACACAGATTTTTGTCCAATCAAATCTCTCTATTATGAGATTGTCCCTTACCCTAACACTAAATGCAACCAACTACCAAGAAGCAAATCATGTTTCATGTCTATGATGTAACTATAACAATTGGCTATTTAAAAAAAAAAAAAAAAAAACTAAATCCCTTCAGTAAGTTGTTTCAATAGGAAATACTGCAACATAGGAAAGAAAACAAGATTATAACTCAAAACGACATTGCAATGTCTGTGCCAAATATTTCAAATCAATATTATCCATATTCTCAGACAGCTCTCTGAGCACAGCTCATTGTATATGTTTGTGTGCATGCGAATGTGAGGAAAACATGTGAATCACTTTCCTATGCAGGAATGCAACTCTGAGGTTGTCTCTAGACTTAGTCGTCTATCTCTTGGCCTTTGGCTCTTTTCAGCTCAGAGAAAGAGATAAAAAATAAATAAGAAGTGGAGAGAAGGCGAGACGAAAAGGTGCACGTTAATGGGCTGCTGAGAACAAGAACAACAGGCTAAAACAGGAGCGAGAGGAAGGAGGAACCGAGCCTGAGGAGGAAACTGCTGGAGGAAGCCAGTTAGGACCGTGAAGTCTTGGGATGAGCGCTCACCTTTTCTCTCTCAGCCTTTAGTAAGACCTGCCGGCAATCTTGCCACCCCTAACGAACTGGCTGAGTCATGCTATGTCTGAGTGTGTAAATCAGCAATGTGGGTTGTTGTTGACGGGGATGATAGCACAACGTAACATTTCCTTCATCTGGACCGGCACCAGTCTCACGCTGCCAACGCATTCCACCACAATAAAGAAGATAAATGAAGGCTGTCATTACATCCCTGTCATCTGTCTCTGGCAAACCAGCGAGCCCAATTACGTTGTGAGATTACAAACGCTGCCTGTTTTACACACAGCTAATTTATGTTCATCTGTCTCCTTCTTGGATCCTGCAGGGGTGCCCTTAATATGACGCTCCGTCTCTTACCCGCTCTCAATCCCTCCAAATACGGAAAGATTATGGATGTGGTAAACGTGGAAGTGCCTTGCCTGCCAGCGCACATCAATTACTTTCCTCACAATCCCACTAATGAGTGACTTTCAAACTGAAACGAACTTCGTAATAAATAACACAACTGATATGAGCGCCGTTGCTGGAGTGATCGGCACTGGCGAGGCGTTCTCTCTGATTTAGTGTAATTTCGCCATAGCGATTCAGAAGCTGTGACTAAAATTGCACAGCAAGATATATTACAGATGGTGCCTTCCTTAATTAACTACATCTACTCAATCAAAGCAATGAACATGCCTCTTGTCTGCGAATTAAGCACTGCAAAATAAGCCGCATCATATAGCTGTACAGATATTACAAGTTTTATATATACAAATACAAATATATAATACAAAATATTAAGCAGCAACTTTTCATTTCACACTGATAATAAATGTTTCTTAAGCACCAAATCATCATAATGATTTAATTTGACATCAGAATGATTTCTAAAGGATCGTGCGGCACTAAAGACTGGGGAAGTGGCTGCTGAAAATGCATAACAGGAATAAATTATATTTTGTAATACAATAAAATAGAAACATTGTTTAAAAATTCTAATAATATTTCAATGTTTTTACTGTACTTTTGATGCAGCCTTGTTGAGCATGAGAGACTTCTTTTAAGAACGTTTAAAAAAATCTTATCAACCTCAAACTTTTCAGTGGTATTAAATATAAGCAGTATGAACTGTATGGAGAGACTAATGCACATTTACTATGTTTTACCATGCCATGTTGTAGACTCGTACTAAAAACTGATTAAGGAAATATACTGTATTTTGCAAACATAGTTTTTAACTGTATTTAGGCTACCAGCAGTCACAAAACAGCAATGCTTACTTAGGCCTATCAGAAGAAATAACATGGTATCAGACAATAGCTTTTTACTATATATAGATAATTTGTCTTTATAAAAACACCACAGTTAGATATTATGCAAGACGTGTGGTAAATTATCATAAAATAACTCTGAATGGCAACAGTAGGCCTACTTCATGTTCATGTTTCTAGTCATTTTAGCTTCAAGTAGTGGATCAAACAACCTTCATACTTTCTGTCATTTCCTGGAGGAGAGGGTAACCTATTTTTGCAGTGATAGCATGATTAGCATTGCTCTTTGAGGATGACTGTGCTCTGTTGCAGGCTGACAAACGGGAAACTCCCACCACATTAAGGTTAGCACGGTGACTCAGCATCTGGTTTGTTTAAGAATCATCTATGAGTTTTCCACATGGCTGCTGGTTAGCATTATTGCAATTAGCTTTCGTGCTTCATTAGCATCACCATTCTAAAGCTAAGGGATTTAGGCCTAGCTGATTGGATGCATTAAAATGTCATTATCTATTTTGTATCATAACATTTTGTTGGGAAAGATTAAGAATACATTTTTAGTTTTTAATAACTGATGCCAGTCTGACTTTATTTCCATGTAGTCTATGAATGAAAAAAGATCATACTGAAAATTGTCTTCAACATGAGTGCTAGGCAAAGCTGTAGCTAGGTAATGTCTCAGGAAGGGGAGATGCCACTGCACTGTTTTATTCATACCTTTGTCACCTTGGATTTACCCCTAAAACTTTAAGTGCCAAAAGCAGCACTTGCATTTGTCTGCCATAAATGCATTGCAAGACACGCAAAGAATGTGAGCTGTTATCTTGAGACAATCAGAGATGGGAGATGTTTTATACTATAATTAGCATGTACAGGAATGTGCAAATTATACATTAATAGGGCCCCATACTGCAACTAAATGGTTGCATTTTGCGACTTTTTCCTGCAAGTTTTGTTAGAGTTTGCAAGTTACCTAACTTTCTTTGATTATGCACTGCTATTTGTGTTGTGTATGAGAAAAATCAAATGACACACACTTCAAAAGCAGAAAGAA